GGGTTTTTTTTTTTGCCTCTTTTAGACTGGGTCTTAATATGTGTTTCTACAGATCATTAGGTTTCTGTATATAAGATTATATCACATGTAAATAGAAATAGTTTCATTTTCTGTCCTCCAGTTTTCCTTCTATCTTGTTGAAATTATTTCCTTTTATTTTTGTTGTTTGTTTTTATTATGAAAGAATGTTGGGTGCCTTTAATTTTTTTTGTATCAGTGATCATGTTTTCTTTATCCCATTAATGTGGTTTATTACATTGATAATCATGTATTGAACCATCCTTGAATTCCTGGAATAAAATCCTATCAGGTGATACTCTTTAATAATTTGAATTATGAAATGAAATTTCCTGGAATTAATTTTCCTAGAATTTTATTGTAAAATTTTATATGTACATTCATAACAAATATTGGTCTATAGGTTTGCCTTGCCTTTGCTTTGAGGGTGACATTGAATTCTTCCTTAATGCTTCATAGTATTCAGTAGTGAAGCCAGAGTGAGTGACTTGTTAGAAGCTCATTCTGAGTCTTTTTCCTTTATTGGCTTAAAATTGTATAAAGTTATTTTCCTTTTGACTATTTGAGGTAGTATAATTATCATCTTAAACTAACAACAATTTTGCCTGGAATTTTCACTGGTTTAGTTTAAGAAATTATCTAAAACTCAGCTCTGTCCTTCCCTCTAAGTTGTTACTGGCACAAGTGAAGTCATTATATATTGTGGTCTAATGCTAAATTATCTTTTAAGTCACCTAGGGAAAAGCGTCTAGCTCATTCACATGTCATGATCTTTAGTAATGTTCCTTATTTGTGTGGTTTTAGCCATTCTGGATTGGCCTTTTATTTCAGCCTGAAAGATTTCCTTTAGCCAATCTTGTGAAGCAAACCTGCCATTGATGATCTTCCTTGACATATAAAATTGACAAGGAATCCCTGCTTTCTCCTGAAACACTGACAAAGGGATAGTGGTTCTAGATAGAGTGTTGAATGACTCTTTTAATTTCAGCACCATAAATATGTCATCCCATTGCCTCTGTCCTCCTCTATATGAGAAAACAGTTGTTACCAGTGAGCCTTTGGACACACCGTGGGCTACTTGTTCCTTCGCATCTGATAGTTTCCTCATTAGGCTTTTGAGACTTTGATTGTGTGTCCTAGTGTGGATTTCTTTGAGTTTGTTCTTGGAATTCTCCCTTTCTTGGTTTGCTGATACAAATATTCTTTCTGCTCTGTTTCTTCTCTCCATCTTGTACTTCCATTATGCATATATTGGTAGGATTGATTATGTCCCATGGATATCTTAAATTCTCTCTATATTTTTGTCTTCCATTTATTTCTCAGACCCCCATCATTTGAATTAGACTGCCTTCAGATAATACATGGATTCTCTCTGCCTGTTCATATCTGCTGTTGAAAGCCCTTAGTGAATTTTTAATTTCAAACCTATACTTTCTGTTAGTATTTTATAATTTTCATATTGATAATTTTCTATTTGTTCATTGTTTTCCTTTCACTAAGAATCCTTTAGTTTTTAGTGTAGTATTTAAGTATTTATGGTAAAATCCAATGTCTAATTCTTTTTTTCTTTTTTCTTTGTATGCCTCTTAATTCTGTTATGTATTAAGTGACACAATATTATTTGGACATATTTGACACAATATTATTTTGACACAAAATTATTAAGCATGCTGTTTACTGTACAAGAGAAGCCACGAGGCACAACAAAAACCCACTATAAGAGTTCATTAAGGGAAGGGAACAGAAGGGGTGTGCTTAGGCCTATGGAATGACCGTGCAGGAAGAGAGGGAAGGAATAGGTGCAACCTGCTTTTATAGACGCCCCCCTCCACATGTGCATGTGGGCTTATAAAGCTATGCCAAGCCTGCACATGCACATAGATTACATGACCACGCTGTGCTCAGATCATGTAATGTAGGATGTAAGACCCTCAGATGACTAAGCATCTTGCCTGGCTACTGGACAATGCATGTGTGGTCCTGTAGCTGGGGGAGTGGCCAGGAATTCTAACAAATTCCTTGTTGAAAACTGCACATTTTGATTATAATAGAACACATATTATCTTCTCTTGGGTTCTAATGATCCTTATTGTAGTTGCTTGTTTAAAGTTTTTTTTTTTAAAGTTAACTTTGTAAAGCTTGTGTTGTTGGATATTTATAGTCTCTAGTGTTTCTGTGCTTTTAGCTTAGTGGGACTTATGGCTTAACAGCATTTTAAATATTTGAAGGCATAAAAAGAAGGGGGTGGTTTTGAAAATTAGTTTTGTTCAATTTACTTTATGTGAGTGTTTTGCCTGCATGTCTGCCTGTGTACCACCTATGTACTTGGTGTCCGCAGAGATCAAAAGAGGGCAGTCGAATCCCCTGGAACTGGCATTACAACTGGTTGTGAAGAATCACTGGTTGTGAATCACCGTATAGATGCTGGGACTCAAACCTGGGTCTTCTGCAGGAGCAATAAGTGCTCTTAGTGGCTGAGCTAACTTTCTAGCCCTTGAAAAAAAGAGGTTTTAAAAATTGTCTTCGTCGTCGTCAGCCATGTGTCACTTAGCTGCACCAAATACCACCACTGTGACTCAGCACATTATGCTAAGCCTGCAAATCAGGCGATAGCTGGGGCCTTCCCAGTGTCTTCCTGAGTGTGTCCTCTGACCAGAAGATGTGTGACTATCTAGACGTCTGCTACACCAAAGCTCTTCTAACGGCTTATTCCCCCAGAGTATTTCATGCCCTGGTTTTCTCTTCCATGTTTTCAGTGTCTTCCATTTGCCCTATATTCTTTGCTCTAGGTTTCTACATCTTATTAAGAGACATTTAGCTACTTTTCCACCTCTAGCAAGTTCTCAGATAGGCAAAATAAAAACCAACACACGTTGTATCCATTTTTTAGGGTCCCCAGGAAGCTGGCACCACATGTAAAAGCACTTGGAAACAAGGTATATGCTCTTAGTCTGCTTGTTCTGGAACAGGGACCCTCCAGAGAAAAAGATTCCATTTTAAAGTCAGCTGCCAGGCTAGAGAGATGGGTTTGAGCAAGGATAAATTAAAATACAAGAAAGGTTCATTGATACATTTCAGTCCTTCAGTGGCTGTAAACTTTTGACTGTCTTCCAGAATTCTGACAAAGTTGATAAGAACAGTGTTTACAACTTGTTGTTGTTGTTTGCTATTTGTTTGTGGTGCTTCTGGGAGGGGGAAGCTTCTTAGGGTTCTCTTCTTTGCCATTTTTGCTGATGTCATTACAAAATGGGATTTTTTTTTCCCTCAACCTAGGGTCTCACTATACCTAGCAGGTTTGTGAAGGTCTGTAGCAGCTCAAAAAACTCCTGAAATTACCCAGCTAATTTTGCTGTGTGTGCTCTTTTTCTAAGGTATTAAAGACTTAGTATGATGTCACCACGGTCCATACCTCCCTAAAAGTTTAAAAAAACAACAACAACAAAAAAAACCCCACAAAACTACATTAGGGAATCTCCCGTTGTTCATTTAGTGTGTGCCTGTAGGGTTCAGAGAACAGCTTGTTGAAGTCAGTTCTCTGCCTCCATCATATGGATCTTGTGGATGGAACTCCAGTAGTCAGGCTTAGTGGCTAGTGCCTTCCTACTAATTCATCTCACTATCTTGGGAATCTCCTATTTAGACATAATTAACATATAAAAAGGCTGGGCTTGCAGTTTCAGAGGGTTAGAGTTTGTCATGGCAGAGAGAAGGCATGGAGCAGCAGCTAGGAGCTCACATTCCTGGAGTGGTGGAAGGCTGTTGGAAGCCTCAAGTACACCCCTAAGTGGTACACCTCCCCCACCTAGGCCTCACCTCCTAATCCTTCCCAGATAGCCACGGGTTGGGGGGAACCTAAGTGTTAGGGTCCTCAAGAAGTCCCATAAAAGACCACCAGACCCTTATGCAGTCAACAAGAGCATTTATTTACTCTACCGGCACATGAGGGGTCCTTCACCTGTACAAAATGGCAACGATGACAAGAGGAATGTGCAGGCTCCTTTTAATCACAGCTAAGGGGAGTTTTAGAAGCAGTTGGGTCATCCTGTCTATGATTGGCAACTATGGCAAGTGGCAACTATGTTAGTACATTTCTAATTGGCTAGGGCTAGCAGCTGGCTAGGGCTACATTTTTACCATCTTTGGGCAAGTTTGGTCAAGCTCCAAGGGGTGGTGGGTATAGAGGATTTGTCACTATTTGTTCATTGCCTTGAGACAATGTAGGGGATGGCCCAGGCTTGGTCCCTGCTGTCTCCCTCATCCCTGCTGTCAGGGGCATTGAAGATTGATTATTCATTGTTCGTGGTTCTTTCAGAAACTGCTTGCTCAGTCTCAGGAAATGGAAACTGAGGCCTGATGTCTGGCAGAAGACTGAGCAAGCAGCCTGTTATGGCATCTGCTTGGCTCTCTCATTGAGTAATCAAATATATGAGCCTGTGGGGGCCAGTCTCATTCAAACCAGCAGAATAATGAAGTGTGTTGTATGTGTAGGGAAACTGTTAATAACTTCATAGGGAGCTCAGAGAAGAGACATTCTTATTTCAGATACTCAGTTTCTTAAAATATATCAGGATTCAGTGCAAGCCAGTTTTAACAACACACGTTGTAAAACCTGTTAAAATGCAAACCAAGAACTTCTTTTACCAATAGCTGACCTTCACTTACTTTGACACTATATTTCCTGCTTCTTGATTTTGTATAATGTAGTATTTTCGTTATTTTAACGAAAGTAATCTTGTACATTTCTTCTGACATCCATTATTTTCAGTCTGTTATGATTTAAGTGTTTAGCTCTTAGATTCAGACTTGAGAAAATAGAACTATAATAATTTTAATGAAACTATAGTGAATTTTAAGTTCACCTTTTCTGTTTTATCAGTTTAAATATCTTATAAAGTCTATCAAAGAGAATTTAGTTATTACAAGAAAATAGTTGAAATGGAAAAGTGAATCTAAAATGACAGTTCTTTTTCTTTTCTTGGCAGGTTATTAACAAATTCAAACAGACTTACAACCACCAGAAATGCTGTGTGGGCCCTCTCAAATTTATGTAGAGGCAAAAACCCTCCTCCTAATTTCAGTAAGGTATGAGTAAAATATACAAGTTAAGAAATCTGTTTCCATAAGTAAGTTTCTTTATGATAAGATTTTTTGAGGTTGAGTAGACTCTTGATTTTTGTTATTTTCTCTATTAACTTGACTCTATTTATACATTCAGCAAATTAAATAAATTTATAAATTGCTAGTCTTCTTTTGCCTCTAGTTCATCTGGCCAGAAACTCCACTGTAACCAGATGTCTGTATGTCTTAGAGTTGAATTAGAAATGTTTGTAGTTTAGTTCTTTTCATTTTTAGGAAATTGAAGTTGTTCCCCAACCCCCATACGATTAAGGTAGTTGTCCAGATCCACTGTTAGGTAATTGAAAATGGAAAATGACACAGAGACTTTGGGATAAATTATCTGACATTCTCACTGGCTGGTACTTTCTGAAAAAAGTTCAGCACCATAACCATAAAGAGACCTGCATGCACATATCACCCTTTTATCACCTGGTTTATTGCAATAGCTTTCTAGCAAATCATCTTTCTATTTTATTTTTTGCCCAGCTATCATTTTTTTTTTTGTTCCCAAGAAAGCAACAAGAATAATCTATAACTTCGAAACTACACCTCTGTTCCTAGTGGCTGCCTATGTTTTATTCAAAGAACAAGATACTTTTTTTTATTTTATATTTTTAAATAAAATGTAATTTTACAAAACAATTCAGTTCTACATATCAGCCATGGATTCCCTTGTTCTCCCCCGTCCCGCCCCCCTCCCCTTCCTCCCAGCCCACCCCCCCATTCCCACCTCCTCCAGGGTAAAGCCTCCCCCGAGGACTGAGATCAACCTGGTAGACTCAGTCCAGTCAGGTCCAGTCCCCTCCTCCCAGGCCGAGCCAAGCGACCCTGCATAAGCCCCAGGTTTCAAGCAGCCAACTCATGCCATGAGCACAGGACCCGGTCCCACTGCCTGGATGCCTCCCAAACAGATCAAGCCAATCAACTCTCTCACCCATTCAGAGGGCCTGATCTAGTTGGGGGCCCCTCAGCCATTGGTTCATAGTTCATGTGTTTCCATTCATTTGGCTATTTGTCCCTGTGTTGTATCCAACCTTGGTCTCAACAATTCTCACTCATATAAACCCTCCTCATTCTCACTAATTGGACTCCCAGAGATCCACCCAGGGCCTAGCCATGGATCTCTGCATCCAGATCCCTAAGTCATTGGGTGGGGTTTCTAGCACGACAATTAGGGTGTTTGGCCATCCCATCACCAAAGTAGGTCAGTTCAGGCTGTCTCTCGACCATTGCCAGCAGTCTGTTGTGGGAGTATCTTTGTGGATTTCTGTGGGCCTCTCTAGCACTTTGCTTCTTCCTATTCTCATGTGGTCTTCATTTACCATGGTCTTCTATTCCTTGTTCTCCCTCTCTGTTCTTGATCCAGCTGGAATCTCCCGCTCCCCCAAGCTCTCTTTCCCTCGACCCTTGCCCTTCATTTCCCCCACTCATGTCCAGGCTGTTCATGTAGATCTCATCCATTTCTCTGTCATTGGGTGATCCCCATGTCTTTCTTGGGGTCCTGTTTTCCAGGTAGCCTCCCTGGTGATGTGAGTAGCAGTCCAGTCCTTGTTCCACATCTAATATCCTCCTGTGAGTGAGTACATACCATGTTTGTCTTTCTGAGTCTGGGTTACCTCACTCAGGATGATTTTTCTAGATCCATCCATTTGCCTGCAAACCTCATGATGTCATTGTTTTTCTCTGCTGAGTAGTATTCCATTGTGTATATGTACCACATTTTATTTATCCATTCTTCAGTTGAAGGGCATGTAGGTTGTTTCCAGGTTCTGGCTATTACAAACAATGCTGATATGAACATAGCTGAGCAAGTGCTCTTGTGGTATGATTGAGCATTCCTTGGGTATATGCCCAAGAGTGGTATAGCTGGATCTTGGGGGAGATTGATTCCCAGTTTTCTAAGAAAGCGCCATATTGATTTCCAAAGTGGTTGTACAAGCTTGCATTCCCACCAGCAGTGGAGGAGAGTTCCCCTAGCTCCACATCCTCTCCAGCATAAGCTGTCTTCAGTGTTTTTGATCTTAGCCATTCTGACAGGCATAAGGTGGTATCTCAGAGTTGTTTTGATTTGCATTTCCCTGATAATTAGGGATGTTGAGCAATTCCTTAAATGTCTTTCAGCGATTTGAGTTTCCTCTGTTGAGAATTCTCTGTTTAGTTCTATAGCCCATTTCTTAATTGGACTGTTGGGCATTTTGATGTCCAATTTCTTGAGTTCCTTATATATTCTGGATATCAGTCCTCTGTCAGATGTGGGGTTGGTGAAGACCTTTTCCCATTCTGTAGGCTGTCGCTTTGCCTTGTTGACCGAAGATATTTTTGTTAAATGCCCTGTCCGAATTGTCATGCACCAGTCCACTGTGACCTCCCTGACTTGTGTCCTGTTTGCCATCTCTCTTTACTTTCTGCCCTCCCTAGACTGTTGGCTGCCCCTCAGATTCATTCTCTCGGTTTAAAACAACTAAGAAATGATTCTTAGGACTTTTAGCCTTCGGACTTCCTTCCATTTTTAAATGTTATGAAGATCTGTATTAGTAACTTTACTGTTGCTGTGACCATGACCAAGACAACTTACAAAAGAAAGCATTTACTAGGACTTATGGTTTCATAGGGTTAGAGTCCATGATGTCAGAGCAAAGTAAGCAAGCCGCAAACATGTTGGTGATAAGAAGTTGAGAGCTCATATCTTTATTCACAAGCAGGAGACGGCACACTGGGAATGGCAAGAGTCTCCTCCTCCAACAAGGCCACACCCCCAATCCTTTCCAAAACAGTTCCAGTTCCACCAATTGGGGACTAAGTCTTCAAACATGAGCCTATGGGGGCCATTGTCATTCAAGCTCCCACAGGATTCAAATTCTTTTATTATATGACTTACATGTAATAATACTAGATTAAAATTTTAAACTATGAAAAGTTTAAATATTTATTTCACTTATAACAAACCAATTACATGTTCAGTAATACTTTTCACAAAAAGCATGTTTCAAAAGAAGAGAAATTTTATAAGAAGAGTAGTCCTGAGAGTGTCTGTTTTGTGTGGGTCTGCTGATTGAACTTAGAACCTTTTGTCCTGAACCATCGAGCTACATCCTTAGCCTTTTGTTGTTGTTTTGAGACAGGGTCTACTATGTGGCTCAGTGTGGCCTGACACTCACTGTGTAAACCAGGTTGGCTTGGGTCTCACAGAGAGAGATTCATCCGACTCTGCCTCCCCTGTGCTGGGGGTAAAAGTGTGTACTGCATGCCCAGCCAGCGCTTTGTTTTCTGACTAGGGGCTTGCTATGTTGCTCAACTACGCGTGTACTGTTTGTAGGCTTCTTGCTCATGCCTCTGAAGTGCTGGAGTTGCAGGTGTGTGCCACAAGTCTCACTTGTCTCTGTGCTAATTTGCTGTGCTGTGTTGTTTTAGCTGAAGAATATGATGTTTGTTTGGATAGTTGAAAGGATGTTGTTTGATACTATACCAAAACTTGAAGTGGTATGCTTATTTGAGATAAGCCCTCACTGTGTAACCTTTGCTGGGCTGGAAATGTTAAACCAGGCTGCCCTGGCTTGGGGTAAAGGCATGTGTTAAAACCCATCAGAGCGGTAGTTTCTTAGAAGTTTCTCTCATTGAGGAGTTTAAAATTCCACCAGTGAACTTTTTCTTTTCTAGTACATTCAGATCCATCAGTCTTACCTTGAATTTGAAGAGTCTTTTTCTCACACATGATCTTAGAACACTGTGCTTTGGCCATTTGGAAAATATGGTTCCTTAAAATATAAAAAAAAATATATATATATAAACCATCAGTACTAGCAAGCCGTCAGACTCAAAAGGGAAGATGCAAGTTTTCTAAAATTCTCATTTTTGAAATCTGGAAGTTATCATTGGCAAGAAATACAGTCAGTTGTAGTTCTTAAAATGACAGACTCACTTTGTAGTTTCTAAACTATCCTCCAGATACTTAAGACTGAATAAGGATTAAGTCATTCAGGTAGAAATGTCGGTCAGTGAGGAAAGTAGCTAATCCAGTATGCGACTCAATCATGAGAGTGCTTGTTCAGACCACCCAAGTATTTCTGTGAGTAGAAGTGTTATGTAGACGTTTCTCATTTCATCTGATAAATTATTCATGGAAGGCATATGCGCAAGCGGTGAGTTTATTGAAATTTTTATTTTTTACGCATAATTCAAGGTGTTTCTTAAATGGACTCTTTCAAATGTTCCTTTTTGTTGGAGGTGAAGAATATAATGATGTGTAATGAAGTTTGCTACTTCTGCCCTGGATTGTGTCCAGGTTCCAACAATTTTACCCACCATTTACTTTTTATCCATTAGTTTAAATGTCACCAAAGTAAATATTTTACTATTAATTATAAAAATAGTTTTGAGATCACACCCCCACTAAAAATGTTTCAGGAATTTCCTCTCCTGGTCCTCCGATGACCTACTGTTCCACTGTTCTACCACACAAGGCAGCTTGCCTGTTCTTACAGTGGGACTTGGCTGCTTCTCTTCTTTAAGATATGTGTGTGTGTGTGTGTGTGTGTGTGTGTGTGTGTGTGTGTGTGTGTGTCTGTCTGTGTGTGTCTGTCTGTCTGTCTGTCTGTGTCTGTGGAGACCAGAAGAGAGTGTCAGGAGTTAGCAGGTGTGAACTACCTGGTGTGGGTACTGGGTGACTCCATCTGCAAGAGCAGTGTTGCCATCAACTCATCTCTGCAGCACCTGGGCTGACTCTCCCGTCGCCTTGGCTTATGAAGTGCTGACTGGGAGCTCTCTACTGACTAATGCAGCACTTAATATTGATATCCGTCATAGCCGCCCTGAGGTTTGCTCACCCCATTATTTTACTTTTTTTTCTTTTGACATAATATGTTACTTATATTAATTTAAAGTAAATCTTCTCCCATTTAAATGTAAACCCCACATTGTAATAGACTTTTGGATAAGATAAATTTTGTGGTTGTGTAAGACTTTCTGTTGCTTACTTTATGACCTTTTATTTCTTATGTGCATCACATTTTCAGTGATTATCTCTCTTAGTCTTTGGTTGCTCATGTTTACCCAGAGTTCTGTCCTCTCTCATTAACCTCTGTCTGATGACAGATTTTTTTCTAGTGTCTTTTTCTTTGGATTGTTTTGTTTTCTTTATGGGTGCTGTCCTCAGCCTCAATTATCTGTTGATCCTTAGCTTTGGATAGATTTAGGACTAAGACACAAAACTCACTAGAAAATGGGTGTATGTATACAGCCTGTTATCTCATGAGCCTTGATATGGGATGATTAATTGGGCAGTGAGACCTTAGTATCTTTTTTTTTTTTTGAAACCTTAGAATCTTTAAGGAACTTCATTTAGAGTGTTTTCTGAGTGTGTTGTGCTTTCCAGAAACAGATGTTGCATTCTTTTGCTAGACGATAAGGTTTCGTGTAGGTAACACAGCTAGGTCCTGGAGTGGAAGAGAGGTTGTCACATGCTTTCTGATCCCTTCATGGCTTTGTTTCAGCCTTCCCTCTGCCTGACACCCACTCCCTTTGCATGGCTCACATTTTGTTGTCCCTTTGTCCTAAAGTAAAACCCCAGTGTTTGTCTTTGAATGCTAGTCACCTCCCTGTTGATGGAGGACACAGGGTCTGAGCTCTAGTCAATGTTCTCTCTTTCCCTTCCTTGCAGCTCAGTGTCTCCTGTCTTCTGTGGCACCAGGGGACCATTTTTTTAAAGGCATTTTAAAAAGTACTGGGGAATAAATTGGCTTTTTCTGGCACTTCTCTCTTTAAGTGTTGGTTGTTGGCTTTCTGTTTGTTCTGTTCTGTTTTGTTTTGTCTTTGTCAGTCATTTTTTATTAATTTAGTCATTGTGGGCAAGATTTTTAAGTATCTACTGATTTCCTCAAAGATAAATTTATGTTACTCTTCCTTGCTTCTGACAAGACTATGGGACAGAATTGTTTTTAACTTGATTGTATAAACTCTAGAGCTTTGTAGGTTGGTTTGGTTGGTTGTTTTTGACATAGTATCACTATGCAATCCTGGCTGACCTGAAACTCATAGAGATCCACCTGCCTCTGCCTCTTAAATGCTATGATTAAAGACATGTGTCACAACACCTGACCCTAGTTCTTTGTTTTTTAATTCCACGAAAGTGTATATATCAGCTATCCTGAGTTTTTTAAATTTAGAAATCTCTATAGTTAAAAAAAAAAAAAAAACAAAACAAAACTGTTCCAGTGGGGGATTAGAGCTCACAACCATCTGTCAGTCCATTTCCAGGTGATCCGATGCCCTTTCCTGGTCTCTGAGGGCAACAAGCACACAAGTGATGGATAGACATACATGCATACATGCAGGGAAACACCCATACACATAAAAAATGAAGTAAAATATAGGTAAAGCAAACTGTTTGATGCATTTCCCTTTTTCATGGAGGTTGTTGGCACAGGTGGAGGCATGGTTATTGAGGAAGGATCCAATTGTGCTAATTCTGTTTACTAACTTATGGATGGACACATGTGTTTTCTAAGCCAGTTTCTGTATCCTTAGAGGAAGGATGCAGCAAAAACAAAAGCAGTTTCAGAAGATATAGTTCATGTACTGTTTCAGTCTTCAGAGGTACAGGGGAAAGTAACATTAAAACATTGTAATTCTTTTTAACGTTGCCATTTGTAACATATGTACTGCTACCATGATCTGTAGTTTTGATTTCTGAGTTTTCAACTACTCCTGGTGCAAACATGGCAAATGGGAAACCCAAAAATAAGTAATTCATGAGCCTTACATTGCATTCCTTTCTATATACCATTACAAGACCTTTGCTCTCCTACCCTGTTACAAACACTTTTTGATCATGCTGTGAAGTGCTTCTCTTCTAAATGGAAATATGAAAATTTTCGGACTAATAAGAAAAGAAAAAGTTATATTGAGGTTGCTGAAATCTATGTTAAGAGAAAAATCATGTGTCCATAAAATGATAAAGAACTAAAATGAGTCATGTTAATTTTGTTGTTGAAACTTCAACCTCAGTGCCTGGCAAGGGCTTGGCTAACCTAGAAAGCTATTACATCTGTGTCTATGTGTATAGGAAAACAATACAGACCTATGCATGATCCCAGGCACCCACTGGTGGCTTAGGATGTATCTTCACCAGAGAAGGAATGAGAATGGAAGCCACTACTCTATCTCCTATCTGAGGGATAAGATTAAGGGCTTTGTGAGGTTGCCAGCTAAAAAAATTCAAAGTAAGTTGGGAAGAGACTCAGTACTGGTCATGGGGGACAAGAGCTGATATTTGAGTAATTCCTGTATGCCAGGCATTGTTCTTAGCTACATGCATTCTTGCACATCCGACAGTTCTTTATTATGTCTGTTTTACAAGTGAAGAAATTTGGATATATGGATAATAGGTAATTTTTTTCATGCCACAGAGGTTAGCAAATAGTATTTGAATTAGAGTTGTCTGACAAGAAAATAGCAAAGATCACAGAATTGACCAGATTTAATATTCCGTTTCACAGACTTGGAAACAGTCATTGAGAGCTGTAAAGTGCCTTGCTTACTTTCACACTGATTAGTTGTAGTAATATGAGATATTAAAATAATTATGGTGCTAGAGAGGTTAAGGCATTTCTTTTGTCATGTTTTTAGCTGGTATTTTCTTTGGATTTTGTTTATTTCAGACAGTATTTTATTATATAGTGGGAGGTGGCCTCAAAGTCCTTCTGCCTTAGCCTTCTGAGAACTGGGATTATAGGTGTGCATTAGAACACACCTATTGAATTTTGTTTTGTTTTGTTTTAGTTGAAGATATATGACATTATTCATTACAGTAAGAAGAAATGGAGCTGGGTATGGTGGCACATACCTGTAATGCTACATTGAGGCAGGAGATTTAAGTTTGAGACCAGGATAGATAGTCTATCTTATGGCTAGCTAGCATGTGCAGGGCCCTGAGTTCAAGCCCCAGCATCTTAAAATAAAACAAACCAAAAAAAAAAAAAAAAAAAAAAAAGAAATATATACTGTCAGTAGTGGCTTCTTTTGGAAAACCTCTCATAATATTTGTTTTTACATTTCGTCTATCTTTGCTGCTTAATTATTCAATTTATTTGTGTTGAGCACATGTAATAAATAAACTAAAAATTTAAATATATTTGTAAACATGAAGCATTTAGGCTTTTTAGTCTAGATATGTATATAGCTTAAATATCAAAAGGAGGTACTAAAGATATGTATTTTATTGCTTTAACATGTTTTATTCAATAACCAATTAATAGCAACCATAATCATTGATACTTATACACCTCATCATAATCTTGAAATAATAGAACAATTCTCTAGTACTTTAATTGTATTAGATTTTGGTTTTTAACTAAATTTCTACATTTTGTTAAGGAACCTTGATATTAAAGAAAATAATTAAATATTAACTCATTTTTTTTCTTACAGGTTTCACCTTGCTTAAATGTCTTATCACGATTGTTGTTTAGCAGTGATCCAGATGTGTTAGCAGATGTGTGCTGGGCTCTTTCATATCTCTCTGATGGACCCAATGATAAAATTCAAGTAGTCATTGATTCTGGAGTCTGTCGAAGATTGGTGGAACTTTTGATGTAACTATAATTTATACTTAGTAGTTACGTGATTGTATATTAAGTTTAACAGTTAAGATCATGGCGTTAAACATTTCAGAAGTCACCATCTTTAGGAAGAATGTAAAAGTTACTAACTCCACCCTTTATAGAGTAGCTATAATCCTTAAATACTGGTCCTTCAATATATATTCTGAAATGCAAGGAAATTATTTTGTAAGTTAATCTCTGTATGAATGAAACTTTATGTAGGCGCCTTAACTCAGGAAGCCTTTATAGAATGTCTGTTAGCACCAAAGGTGACATGTGAAATGTTATTAGGGAGAGAACACAGTTACTGCTTTCACAGAACCAATAATCTAGTTTATTATTCTTTACAATAATTGACTTGAATACAAAGCCAGGAAATTCATTTAGTGTCTCCATGGTGTTTCTTTTACTGGCCAATCATTACCTTTGCTTAAAATCACAGCTTTTCCATGCAAAGAAATTAAAAGAAAATTTTGTTTAAAAAGATGTTATAGCTTCTATATCCTCCAACCTTCTTTCCAATTGTCTTCGTTTTGTCAAAAAGCCATTAGTAGTAAACTAGGCATGCCTTTAGTAGCTCATGCCTTTAGTCCCAGCACTTGAGGCAGGGGCAGGTGGATCTCTGAGTTTCAGGCATAGCAAGTTCCAGATCAGCTAGAGCTACATAGTGAGACCCTGTCTCAAAGAACAACAGAACAAAAACAAAAGGCCATTAATTAGCCCAAGTGAGGCAGAAGGCGCAAAGCACAGAGCTGTGCTCAAGGGGTGATGTTCCCGTAGGAGGACAGTGTCTGCAAAAGCTAGACAGGAGCAGTGGGGGGTCAAGGCCCCAGCTGGACAATGACTTCTACTAGAGCGGGTAGACAAGCAGGCCAGAACAAGGCTTAGAGCCAAAAGCTCATGACCCGGTGGTCTCTCTTTGTCAGATTATGTAGGAAGATGTGAACTAAAGCACCTGGCTTCTAGTCAGAAAATGTGAAGGGAAAAAGCCTTTGCTGTTAGATTAGTATTAGATCCCTCAGTAGAAACCCATGGCTTTCCAAATAAGGAGCTGTTTAAGTCTGTGTGCGTATGTGCATGGAGGCTTTTGGACCAGGGATTCTCTAGAAATACAGTGAGCACACTCAGGGCACAGCTCTTGGTTTCTAAACATCACTGTTCCTTTAAGGAAAGTAGCTTTTCTAGAGAAATTATTGGATTAGAATGAGGAAAAATGAGATGAACACAGAAAATAATGAGCTTGGAAATAAATAACAGTAATGTATTATTATAAATTAGTGAGGGCTGGAGAGATGGCTCAGAGGTTAAGAGCACTGGCTGCTCTTCCAAAGTTCCTGAGTTCAATTCCCAGCACCCACAGGGTGGCTCACTACCATCCAGAATGAGATCTGGTGCCCTTTTCTGGCCTGCAGGGATGCATGCAGGCAGAATACTATATACATAATGAATAAATAAATCTTTAAATAAATAAATAAATAAATAAGTGAATAGCAATAACCTCAGAGTCCACATTAAAATATGTGGATGGGTCAATAGGTAGATAAGGTATATGGTCGAGATGATAGCATTACAAAATGGTTGTTAAAAAAATACAAATAATTACTAATTCAGATAATGAGCATACAGATACTAGCACTAGTGGGGGAAAGGGGAGTCAGCCCTGATAATATACATGTAAGTAACATTATATGGACTGAAAAAGTTATATTTAGGAACATATTTGTGTATACATATATATATATATATATAATATATATATATGCAATAATAATTTGTAAAAAAAGAGACCATGAATTTGAAGGACAGAGGGGAGGGGTATATGGGAGGGTTTGGAGAGAAGAAAGGGAAGGGAGAAATGTAATTATAATCTCTAAAATAAAGTAAATAGGTTAAAGAATGGGATTTTTATATGGTCTCAAATATTTCCTCAGCAAATACTAAGAATAAAGGAGAAATTGAGAATAGTAAAGAAGAATAACATGATATACAATCTTAGTGACCAGAGTTCAGTACCATAATAATGAGACAGTATACACAATGTGTCACCTGATAAGATATAATGAGGTTATATAGCATTTATAATACTGGATTGTATTTTTTTTGTCTTTAAAATATTAGTAAGTAAAAATTGAATAGGAGCTCTGAGTGAAGACTATGGAAGTTTTCTATACTATTTTTCAACTTTATATAACTTTTAACTTGTTAGTGTGTAAACTTGTATTTTTATTTTTAGGCACAATGACTATAAAGTTGTATCACCTGCATTAAGAGCAGTTGGTAATATTGTGACTGGTGATGATATTCAAACACAGGTGAGTTGAGAATTTATGACACATTGTTAACATTGTTTCATATCACTTGATTATGTGTTCATCAAGGCTTAGTTACTGTAATTGTATAGGCATCTGTGGCAGTAAGCACAGTTTTCAACTAATTGGGTAGGTACTATCATAGAGCCCTGTCAGTGCAAAATGTACCAAATGTTCTGCTCAGAGGATTCAGAATCCTTTTAATTTATTCTTCTCTCATACAATACATCCTGACTGCAGCTTCCCCTTCCTCGACTCCTCCCAGTCTTTCCCCCTACCTCCACACCCCCACTTCCCCGAGAAAAGAGCAGGCCTCCCAGGGACATCAACTGGACATGGCACAACAAGGTACAGAAAGACCAGGCACAAACCCTCATATCAAGGCTAGGTGAGGTAACTCGTAGGAGGAAAAGGCTCTCAAGAGCAGGCAAAGGAGTCAGAGACACCCCCACTCCCACTGTCAGGAGTCCCCCCAAAACGCCAAGCCGACAACCATAACATATACACACAGGACTGAAGCAGCTCTGTGATTGCCACCAGTCTCTGTAAACCACCACGAACCCTGCTTAGTTGATTTCCCAGCCCCTTTGGGCCCTGTTCTCCTGGTGTGCTCCCACAATTCCTCCTCCCCTTCAGCTGGAGGAGCTTCAAGGAGAGGGACCCCATGGAGACCTCAAACTTGGGCTGGCCATCTTTCTAATGTTTGGCTGTGGGACAGCCAGATGTTAGGATTCAGAATCTTAACTAGGTAGAAGTCATTGAAATAAAGCAGGGTGCTTAGCTAACTCACTCAGTAGAATTTGAGACTCAAACAAAGCAAACTAACAAGGAAATGCTTGTGCTATGAGCTGATCATCCAGTGAGTGCATTAAGGTTTTATAAGATGGGCATGATGAGAAATCTGTAGTTCTGTAGATGAGTGGAACTGAATAAGTAGAGTAGTACTTGAGTAGATGAGATGAGATTTACAGTCATAAGGAGAAAGGTAGATACATGAGTTATGTTCAATAACCATTAAACAACTAGAATAGCAGCTGTGATTTGTTATCAATAGGTTATAGGACTTAAGAATCAGATTATAAGACCAAAGGAAAGCTAGCAAGGAAATGGTTCCAGAATTGGTGATTAACTGTATGTGCACATACCTGTTTGGGAGAATGGTAAGATGTTAAGATTGACTCCAGATAGGTTTCTGTTTTGATAACCTACCACAGTTCTTTTTTTTTTTTTTTTTTTTTGGTTTTTCGAGACAGGGTTTCTCTGTGTAGCTTTGCGCCTTTCCTGGAACTCGCTTTGGAGACCAGGCTGGCCTCGAACTCACAGAGATCCGCCTGGCTCTGCCTCCCGAGTGCTGGGATTAAAGGCGTGCGCCACCACCGCCCGGCTCTACCACAGTTCTTAAAAGAATAATCATTAACAGGCGATAATGCCCATTTTAAGGGTAGTTCTCTATACACTGCACTTACCAGCTAAATTTTCAAGATATTAATGCTGCATACCTTCCACCCTCACTAAATCAAAATCATTGTGGATGGTCATCAGTCTTAGGACAAAGCAGGCAGTATTTATGCCAGTTGGTTTTTGTGTGAGACAGGGTCTCATTAGTAGCTCTGACTGGCTTTGAACTCACAGAAACTTGCTCCTCTCTGCTTTTTGAATACTGGAATTAAAGGCGTGTGCCACACACCTAACTAGATAATACTTCATTATAAAAGCCAAATTCTAAAAACAAAACAGAATAGATTTATTCTGTACTTGAAAATTTTTATAATGCTATACATGGGTTTGGGAAAGAATATCATTCAGTCATTTGTTTTGAAAAATGAGGTTAATCCTATCTTCCGTCACTAAGTCATTCTTCAAGTAGTTTTCTAAGTTGAACTTTGCAGATATTTCTATGGGTATGAGCGGAAATCACAACTGTTTCAAGTTTCAAGTTTCAAGACTTCCCTACTTGGTAGTAGTCTTCCAAACCTAATCTGTGCTGATGATGTGATAGCTGTATTACTTTAGTTTGTGTGTTTGGTGGATATGTCTGATTCCCACTGCAGTGGAGAACTCCAGTAGCACTAGGTCAGACCTGCTAACGGCAGGGTGTAGAACTTAGCAGTTGCCCCGTTTTCACCTTGACAGGAATTTATTCCTTTGTTTGTCAGATGACTTCTGTACTTGTAATAATTCATAAGATGTTTGCGTTTATACTAAAGCCCCTTCTGTTTTCTGTCTTCCCCATTTTAGGTCATTTTGAACTGTTCTGCATTGCCCTGCCTCTTACATTTGTTGGGTAGTCCAAAGGAGTCAATTAGAAAGGAAGCCTGCTGGACCATTTCTAACATCACTGCAGGAAACAGAGCTCAGATCCAGGTAAGCGCCTTTCAGAGTTGAGATGACAGCAGGAGGGTCGGGACTGGGATGGCTGGCGTTCAGCATGGCCTTTTCTTCTCTAAGTGAAAGCATTTGTGGTTAGTAACCCAGTGAGGAATGCCTGTTACGTCTGTAGACGTGGCTGAGATGTAAAGTTAGTTTCTGCTGAGCACAGTGGCTCACCCCTGTAATCCCAGTTCTTAGAGGCTGAAGCAGGAGGAGGTTACAGTTGGAGGCCACATGGGCTATAGATAGGGACACCTTGTCTAGGAAGAAAAAAGGTTTTTTTAAAAAGGTGTAGCATAGGTGTAAATTGAGACTGAGTCAGGATGATGATTTTTGAGGCCAGAATGGGCAGTATGGGAGACCCTGTCTGGGCGGGGTTTCCATCAGTTTTAAATATCAGGAATCATCTTTGGCTTTCAGTGTTTATTAGGTTCTGTCAGCTTTCTTGAGCCAAAGGATGCTTACCCATTTGGTTAGTCACATGCCTGCAGTTTATCACTTTTGATGTTTATATTTTACTGACACATTCTCCATTCTTTAAAAAAGCTCATTTCTTTTTACAAAAGAAATCAGTTAGAGTATTGACAGATTAAAACAGAATCTTTCTAAAACCTCTCACATCTTAAGATGTAGAAAAATTATGTGCCTGTAAAGCACAACATGTACAGGTGCCCGTGGTAGCCAAGGTGTCTGTGGACCACACCCAGGTCCTCTGCTAAGAGCAACAGTTGCCCATACTGCTGAGCCGTCCTTGGGCTGCTCTCACAGAAAGCCTCTTTTTTTCAGTGCTGCACGTGACAGTAGTTCTGAAACAGTATTTGCACTAATTTTGTCGGATCCTTTTTCTTAGGCTGTCATAGATGCAAGTATTTTCCCGGTTTTGATTGAGGTTCTCCAGAAAGCAGAATTTCGTACCAGAAAAGAAGCCGCATGGGCCATAACTAATGCCACATCAGGAGGCACTCCAGAGCAAATCAGGTGGATTCGGATTCTTTAACATTGTCTTTCAATGTGAATCAGACAATTTGAAATAAAACGTGTTTTTCATTGATGGATGAAACTAGCATTTTTATGTCTGTTTGATATGCAGTAACACGAGACGACAGCATTTGTTGTCTCTTTCCTCTGGTTTCTCTCATTATTTTTACTTAAGTGAAAGTTAACTCCATCTTCCTTGGCAGAGATTAGAAATTCAGATGGGAAGAATTTGTTGATTTGCAGAAATACACTGTCATGAGCATTAGATTTGTTTTAAGCATTAAAATCACAAAATTAACTATTATATAGAAGTTAGACATATGACTATCAACTTGTTTAAAGTAAAATTAAAATATGCATTTGTTTTAATGGTGTTCTCTTTATTGGTTGTTGTCTTGCTGGTACATAGTGTAGTGCTTTTATGCACGACTTGTCTTTTTCCTTCTATACCATGTTTTATTAGCTGTGCCTTTTATTATGTATATTCCTGACAGCACTCATAGTTGGTACATGACTTTAAGTAAGCCTGGCCAAGTACTGGTCAAGTCCTGCCCCTCAGTAAAACTTGTCACAGGATCAGTTTTGACAGAATCATTTAACCTTTCTAGTCGAGTTTCTTCTTGCTAATGAATTCAGTAACCATATGAAAAGTGAAATGTGTGCACTTGACGTGCTTAGCACAGTGCTTACTAAACATTGGGGTCTCAGTTAGAATGAGGTACTGCTGTCGTTTGTAACTGTCATTTTCAAGTCTTGATTCCAGTCTTTGTGTATTGTATATCTTCCATCTTTTTTACTTCTATAGCAAAGATAGACTTTGTAACTCAAATAAACTTGATTTCTCTACATAATCTTCTCATTCTTAAAAATCCTCCCATAAAACTATTTAAGAAATATTTTCTATTAAATATATAACTCTTAAAAATTTCTAAAATGATAAATTATGATACTATCTTAGCAAAGCAAAGGATTTTAAATCCACCAAATGTTAGATCATTATCTTGTTTGTTTCTTGTTTTTAGAGACTAGTTCTCACTGTTGTGTGCCTTTTTCAGTGGCATACATTTTTCTTATAAAAATAGTACAATATTTGAAAATACATGTATACATACATGTATGTGTGTGTATGTATATATATATATATGTATATATGTATGTATGTATGTATATTGAGACAGGATCTCACTATGTTGCTCTGGCTTGTCTAGAATTTACTATGTAGACCAGACTGGCCTTGAACTCAGATCTATTGGCTTTTATCTCCTGATTGTTGTGAATAAAGGTGTGTGCCACAGTGCCCTTCAGAGGGGAAAAAAGTAACTTTATCATGCTAACAGTTATTTTCATTATTCACGTTTCATTTTGTAACAACTTTTCATTATTTCCTTGGCCAGGCTCCTAAGTGCTGAGATTATAAATGTGCCACTGTGTCTTGGTAGACCAGTTGTCTTTCAGTACCTTCACGTATACTGCCAACCTTCATGTCTGTGTATAGAGATAGCATCTGTGCCTGCTCCTTTTCTGTTCTCCCTTATTTTAATTAGTATTTCCTTTATATCGTGTCATAAATATAAGCAGTAATAAAACAGACTTTGCTTTGTTGTGTCTTTTTTAATCGCTCCTGTTATTTTTATCTGTGTTAAGCTGAAAGTAGACACATATACGGGAAGAAAATGTTTTAATCTCAGATTAGATTCAGCATGCTTACCACAATAGTTGTGCTTACTATTGCCAGTTATTGTTTTGGTAGCTAAGTCATTTTGGTTACACCAGGTATTTTTATATATTTTATTTCATTTAACCTCATACCTATGAGATATTATTCACTCAGAAATGTTTTTGTTCAGTTACTTGGAAATTGAGTGCATACCTTTTTTTTTTAATGTGTGGGTGTGTGTCACAGTGTATGTGTGGAAGCCAGAGGATGACACTGTGGGATCAGTTTTCTCACTGTGGGTTCCAAGAATGAACCCAGAGAATCCTTGCACAGCAGGTGCTCAGCCACCCTGCTCCCCCCACACTCACATACACACACACTCCTTTTTCAAAGGAGCAAAAACTTTTGTAACATACTTCCTGTTGGGAAACTGAGGTAGAGAGAAGTTGCTCAAAGTTACATAACTAATTAAATGGAATTAGGATTTGAAACCATACAGTCTGGCTCCAAAGCCTGTTAAAAACAGGTAGAACCCTTTGTGGTTCATGTGAACTCTTTGCCAAGTGAAAAGAAAAATCACTTCATTTATATAAGAAGTGAAAAGTAGGTAATAATAATGCATTAGGAAATTAAGGGATATTTCTGTGAACAGTACTTTTTTTTTTTTTTTTTTTTTTAAATCAGGGTTTCTCTGTGTAGTTCTGGTGCCTGTCCTGGAACTCACTCTGTAGCCCAGGATGGCCTCGAACTCACAGAGATCCGCTTGGCTTTGCCTCCCCAGTGCTGGGATTAAAGGCGTGCACCACCACCGCCCGGCGAACAGTACTTCCTAACATTTACCAGGGTGGCCTGTTTTCTTCTTTGTGATCTTTTGCATTCCTGAAATAATAATGTTTGCTTCAGAGCATTGGCTATGATTGCTGTTGTAAGAAATCTTTTGAAATTGAATTTGTGTGTTCCCTTTCCTTCTCCATTTGTACCTTTCTAACGAATAAACCAAGAGGGAGGAGGGAAGGAGAGAGAGAACACACTGTCTCACTTTTAAAAAAGAAACGGGTGGAACCTGCATTTCCTAACCCTCCTCTGCAAAATCATCTAAGTGTTGGTCTGTGTGGACATTTTGTAATATTTGTAATGCCATTATTGCTAATTATGTGAAACTGGAGAACAGGAGAAAACAGTTTAAAGATTGCAATGTAAATAAAAAACTGTCTGAGTTTAAGCCAGGTATGGTGACATAGCCTTGTCTGTAATCCCAGCACTCAGGAGACAGAGGCAGTTAAAATCTGTGAGTTCAAGACCAGACTGATCTACATAGTATGTTCCAGGCCAGCCAGGGCTACATGTGAGACCCTGACTCAAAAAGAACAGCAATAAAAAGTGTGTATAGAAACACTTTCATTACTGGTTGTAACATTTCATTCTGGTTCTGTGTTGCTATGATACACAGTTTTAAACCCTCCCTCCCCCATCTCTCTTTAACATCTCTGTGAAGGTATTTGGTAACCTTGGGCTGCATTAAACCACTTTGTGACCTTTTGACTGTCATGGACTCCAAAATAGTTCAAGTGGCTTTGAATGGACTTGAAAACATTTTACGTCTTGGAGAACAAGAGTCTAAGCAGAGTGGAGTGGGTGTCAATCCCTACTGTGCGCTCATTGAAGAAGCATATGGTAAGTAGGCAGGTGAAAGTTTAATTATAGTTTATTCTTAACTATCTGCCCTAAGTGGCTCTCCCCCTTCTGCACCTCCACCCTCCCCCATTCTATATGGCTTTTTTTTCCATTATAAAAGCAGTATAATATTTGAAAAATATTTGAAAATAGTTACCCATACCTCGTATTGTAGCAATTCTTCTTCATTTTCTTTTTACGTTTAACTTCCTGTATCTACCTTCCTTTTTATATTTCCCTTTTGTACAAGTACTTTACGTTGATTTAAGTAATGTGTGTTGTACATTTCTCCATGATTGCATAGATGTATAAGGTATTGAATAGATGTGTAAGTGTAGTTTAAGCAATATTTTAGTAGTTTTAGTCACATACTTGTAATTAGCCATTAGTTTCCAAATTATTTAGTGCTTTAAAAAAGCCAAAGCAATCATCTTTCTGCTTGTAAATTTACTTCTTCTATTTTTTTGTCTTGGTTTGGGATGTTTTTTTTTTTTTTTTTTGGATACCAGCTGTCAACTGTGTAGCTGAGACAGGCCTAGAACTCACTGTGTAGCCCAGGCTGGCCTTCACCTCAGTTTCCTGGGAGTTGTGATTAGAAGCATTGACTGTCATATCCAGCTGAATCAGTATGTCCAGATAAATTTTCAGGAATGCAAATGCTGAATCAATGGCACACATTGTTTATTTTTTCATTTCGTTTACCTAAGGGCTTTTAATTGACAGTGTCAATTATGTGTGTATGAAAGGACCTCTATAACTTGGTATTTCCTTTCATTGGCTTGTGTAAAGTGATGTTAATAAATTGCTTTTATGTAATTTCTTGGTTTATGTTGTATAGAAAGTGCTATTTCTGAGCTAGACAGATGACTCAATGGTTAATAGCACTGGCTACTCTTCCAGAATTGAAGTGGTTCAATTCCCAGCACAGAGTCACAACTCTGTGACTCAGGTTTCAGTGGATCTAACTCCCTCACATAGACATACATGCTGGCACATAAAGTAAGAATAAATTATTAAAAAAGAAAGTGCTGTTTCTCTTGTATTAGTCTATTTCCTAATCACAGTTGACTATTTATTGTACTTTATTTAGTTCTGTACTTTACTGTTTTCACAGTGGTGATTTTTTGAGCTTGTTATTGTGTGTACAGGCTGGGGTCCATTGGCTTGTGTGCCATGGCATTTTTGTGGAGGCTAGAGGACAACTTCATGGGTTGAATTCAGGTCATCAGGCTTGATTTTTAAAAGATTTATTAATAGGAATATTCACTGTTCTCTAGTAAGTCCCTTTTTTTTGTACACTGACTTAAGCTTTTACTTGGAATTCTTAAACAAAGCCTGAGATATATTACTCTTATTTCAAAATATAGAAGATATCACTGAGTTCTGCTTATTGGTTTGCTGCCATGGCTTGCTCATCCTGTTTCTTATACATTTCAGGGTTACCTGCCCAGGGGTGGCACCACCCACAGTGGATGGGCCCTCCCACATCAATCCCTAATTAAGAAAATGCTCGCAGGCCTCCACAGCCTGATGTCATGGAGGCATCTTCTCAGTTGTGGGTCTCTCCTCTCAGATAGGTTGTGTCGTGGTGACACAATCCAGCCAGCACACTGTGCTAGCATAGGACCCAGATTCTGTTCCAGTAACCACACGGGGCAGGTCACCATCTCCTGTAACCTCAGTCAGGTGACCTGAACATCCAGTCCTCCTTAGGTTCTTGCATGCATGTGATGCACAGAAAGTCAAGCTTGCTCATACACATATACAGAAATAAAAAAATTAAGTTAAAAAACCAGTATTTTCTTATTAACAGTCTTTTTAATCCCAGATTATACTGGAGTTTGGGGTGTTTTGTGCTTGTCTGTAGAGATGGTGACTGCTTTGCTTATTCCTTACCCTACATTTTAAACATTTAGACATGTTTTTATTATTAAGGTGGTTTGTGGACATGAGTTCATAGTGCATATGTGAGTATCTTCTGATAGCTTTGTGGAGTCACTTCTTGCTTCCATTTCCCGTGGGGCTACAGGATTCTAACCCATGCTGCCAGGTGTGAATGGCAAGCACCTTTACCTGCTGAGTCATCTGCTTGGCCCAAAGTCATTTGTCTTTGAATGGAAAATATTCTAGTGTCACTCAGATCTGTGTAGAATTTTTTTTTTTCTGAAAGCAATAAAATAGGATGCTACACGTTTCTTTCATCCTTTCAAAATGAAGTTTTTTTCTCACGCTTCTTTATAGATTGTAATTTTAGGACATTCTGTAACAGCCATATATGGTATTTTGTTGTGAAGTGTCATGGATTCTAATATAGGTTTGCATGAATTTCATACCCAAACCCTCTGGTTCGATGTGTTTTAGTTTATGCATTTGTTTCATTTCTCTTTTTGTTCATTATTTAGCATAGTTGTTCTGGAAGGGGTCTGTGGAGTTACTCTAGGCTTTTATAACTCAAGTGCAGATAATCGAACTTAGTCAAGAACACAGCAGGCTGGCTGGTGCTTGTAACCTTCCTTCCCAATGTGTGTCTTTTATCACATTGTACTTCCCTGAACTTTTACCCCCAGTGCTTGTTTGTTTGTTTATTTATTCTTTAGAAAGACAGGATTTTATGAGCCTGAGCTGTCCTGGGACTCTTTGTGTCGTCAAGGATGATCTTAAACTTCTGATCCTGTTGCCTGTACCGCCCAGTGCTAGGTTACAGGCATGTACCACCTGCCTGCTTTTATGCACTAAGGGTGTTTGAATCTAGGGTTTCCTGTGTGGTAGTCAAGCATTCTTACCAAATGAGCTACATCCCTAGTCCGCTGTACTCGTCATTCTTAAAGAATAAGGCCTAAGTGTGAACTCACTGATTTGTGCAAAAAATAAATTTAAAAAATCTCTCAATCTTAGTGGAGTGAATGAATGCTATTGATTTGTTATTTTCATATAATATATACTGAAACCCTAATAATAATTTGTTTCTTGTGTGTATTCTTTCTATGATAGGCTTGGATAAAATTGAGTTTCTGCAAAGTCATGAAAATCAGGAAATTTATCAAAAAGCTTTTGATCTGATTGAACACTATTTTGGTGTAGAAGATGATGATCCCAGCATTGTACCACAGGTGGATGAAAACCAGCAACAGTTTGTATTTCAGCAGCAGGAGGCACCAATGGAAGGATTTCACCTCTAACAGGTGGTCGTGGCAATGACTGACTGAAATGGCTGGCTTCTGATATCTCTTCCATATTACCAGTGTTGGTAGAAATGTTTTTATATAATACGGCAAAGAAAAAAATGGGTGCACTTTTCAAAAGCAAAAATGAAACGAAAGCTTTTATTTGGATGCACCCTTTCTTTATAGATTTCTGTTTGTTGTTTTGATTGTTCATTTCGATGTAGCTGTGTTTGTCTTGTGTTGTTTGGATTTTTATATCTCTTTGTGAATATACATTATGCAATTATTTCACTCAAGCTTGAAAAAGAGGGCTTGGTATTATATAGCAGTTCTAAACTTTTCAAGTATTCTTGAAAACTGCACAGCAGCAGTGTTGTGAACACTGATCATGGAAGTCTGGCAATGTCCAGGCTTCGAAATCTACCTCTGTCTGGAAGCAAACATCAAAATGAAAGGAAGCTTCAGGAGCATGAAGTCATATAAGAGCTGAATTAGAATGTAATAATCTCTACTTTAGATTATAAATCACTGTGCTGTAGGTTATACTTCAAACGATTGCAACAGAAAACTTGCAAAATGTATTTATAAAATAGAAGAATTAGTGTACTGATGGTTAAAATGTGGCAGTTATGAAGAGAGAAGCTGTTCATTTGATCACACTATATACCTAGAAAACACTTAAATATTTGTCTTGTTCACATAAAATACTATTATTCTAGTGTATTTTATATATTATCCAGATATGCTATCCTTTTAGAAATAATGTTTATTTTCACTCCTCATTTTAAAGAGGATCATGATAGAGAGGTGATCATGAATCTAAAGTAGCTTCATACCTAAAACTAATTATTTTCTCTGAGTTTTCAGAAGATCTTGAAGCATTTTATTCTCTGTATAGCTGTGAACTTGAGTACTTAAATGACAAAAGTTTCATGAAGAAATCACCTTGTCATGTACTAAATTTTGGTAAATGCATTTTAATGTTTCTACTAAATGAGTGATACTAATGAAAACTGCTAAGGATTACTTAATGTGTAGAAGTCCATATTAGGAATATTTCCTTTTGGTAATACACAGCAGGTCATACTGCTTTTTATTATGAACTATATGGTAGGTGACCTTTGTATCAGATTGGTCAGTCTAATTTGTGTTTTATGAGTTAATAGCAAAAAGTCTCTTGAAATATGAAAGTCTAAAAGGTTTTGATAGAAAATTTATATTTATTTACACATGTATGTGTTATCCCCATAGAACTGTGCTTGGTAGAATTTTCTAAGCAGATGTGTGATTATCAAATTCAGTCTTTTGATTTATAGTTATATGTAGGTTATGGATATATCCAATTACATACTTAAGAATACTTATGTAAAACCTAATTTATAACTCTTTTAAGATGGGAACTAAAACAATTTTGATATGATTCAAAGTCTATTCTATAAAGAAAGATTTCATTTATGATAGCATTTGTAATGTTTCTGCTGGAAATCAGAGGCATGTGACCTAAGGAATGTGTATATAGGAGTACTTTTAAATAGTAGGACACTTTGTAAACTGTATATCATGAACCTAAGCTTGTGGCAAGACACTAAAAGCCTACAACCATAAAATGTAGGTTTAAATGGTTTCCATAGTGCTGATTGTATCTGTTGGTCCTTCTGTAATATTAAGTAGAGGATTGTGTCTGCCCTTTTTATTGTAATGGAAGTTAAAGAGTTAAGTATAAAAGGTTTCCCTTTTACATATGTACATTCAAAGAAACAGGGTAGTGATAGAAAGATTACCAAGTTGGTGGGTGAATTTATCAAATAAACACTGTCTTATGGTGCCAATGTTTCTAAGTAAAAGATGACAGGGTATTCGATTCTTTGTAATCAGTTAGTTGAACTTGTTGATGCAGCATACTTCAAACCTAGCCAGCTGTGCCTGCTTTGAGGACCCAGTAGTCACTATATCAAATCTCTTAGTTCTTATAGAAGAAATTATGTGTGTGTGTGTACATATACACATACATATATATACATTATATATATAAAAATTATTTGCAGACACATAGAATGAATGACCTATCATAGGAGATTTTAGAAAGTACCAGTGGGACAAATGTTGTTTTTCTAAGCACAGAACTTGATCATATTTTGAATATTTAAATATACATTTAATTTCTTGGATCTGTATCTTGTGTAATTTGATTAGATTTGCATGTGAAGGGCACTTGGTCCCACTTTAAGGTCTAGTTCTTTTTTGTTGAACCAAGAATAAAGGATAGCTTTGTAAGTGTGCCATTTAAAATGCCCCAAAATTTATTTTCATCATCATAATACTGTCCCTTGTGACACAACTTAATTGGATGCTGTTCTGAGATTTATGACACACACACATGACAGATACTGTGCCAAAAAAAAGTAAAATGTGTTTTAGGGAATGTATTCGACATTAATGCAGATACAAAGAAAAATAGTTGAAAGAGTCTGTTTAATTAAATTGGCCCATTTAATTAAATTTAATTGAACTTGAATTTCTACTGGTTGAACTATGCAATCATGCTCACTTGTTTTATAAACACTTGATACACTGGCCTAGGTTCTTACTATTTGTTTGTTTAGTTTTTGAATGGTTATTCTAACCTCATTTTTAGTGTTCTTAGTTTTTAATGTCATTTGTCACTTACTGGTAACACTGAAACAGGGTATTTTTTGTTTTGCTTTTTGTTTTTAAAGTAAATCTCCTGGCACAGAAATAGCTTCTCATTTGGTTCCTGAAACCTGTTTGCAGCTAAAGATTGACTCACTGGGTGAAGAACTAAAGAATTTATTACCTCTGCTTTTATAGTTTTTCTTCTTTATAAAGGAGTATGATGGAAAAAGTAAATGTAAAAATGTGTGGATTTTTGTTAGTGTTCTAAATTCAGTAACCTACTGGTTGCTTATTGTGATACTGTGAAATAAAATGAACTCGTATTCATTTCAGTACATAGCACTGCTGTTGTCTGAAATGTGACATGCTGTTAGGAGCCAGTATAGTAAGGCCCTAAAAGGCTGTTGTCTCCTGATTGGAAAGTGAGATGAGATGAGGGATTCTCACTTAACTAAACAAACAAACAAACAAACATTTGAGCATTATGCAATATTATGAAATGTTACACTCTACTAAACACAATAAAATACTGTTTGGCAGTTACATTTATTATGTGTGTTTATTTTCATTATTATTGCTAAGATTGTATATTCTCAATGGAATAAAAACAGATGCAACATAGCCGGGCAGTGGTGGCGCACGCCTTTAATCCCAGCACTCGGGAGGCAGAGCCAGGCGGATCTCTGTGAGTTCGAGGCCAGCCTGGTCTCCAAAGCGAGTTCCAGGAAAGGAGCAAAGCTACACAGAGAAACCCTGTCTCGAAAAACCAAAAAAAAAAAAAAAAAAAAAACAGATGCAACAGTTAATAGTCTGTCCATTTATAAAACAAGAATCATAAAGAATAGTTAATTCAAAACTAGGTAGAAAAAAGAGAAGAAAGGGGACCCCCCCCCCCAAAAAAAAAAAATAGAGCAAATAGCAGGATGCTAGCTGTCAAATCAGTTACATCAGCAGTCACAGTGATTTTTTAATGAGGTGAAGGTGTTTAAGTGGTGCCTCATAAGCACAGTCGGTAGCTGGACTAGACGCTTTTCTACTGCCATGATAAAGCACTGTGGTCCAGTCAACTCACAGAAGAAAGACTCACACTTCCACGGGGGTCGGAGTCCTCAGTAGCAGTCTTTTGAAGCCTCAGAGTTCACCCCTAGTGACATACTTCCTCCAGCAAGGCCATACCTCTTGTGCTTCCCAAACAACCACCAACTCGGGACCAAGTATTTCAATGCCAGAATTACAGTGGACATCTTATTTATACTACCACAGTAGTGTATATCTCACAGAGACTATTGAAAACAGAGAAATTGTCAGGCAAAGTGGACAAGTCCCATGTGGTAGTTTTTTTTGTTTAAAAGTAGCACACTTTTCTCGCTGGCCTTGCTAGTTTTACTCCCATCGGTAGTATGCACAGGCTCTCTTTTGCACGTCCTAACCAGCGTTTGTTATTTTGTTTTCTGTTTGGTAATAGCCATTCCAATGAAGGAGATGGTACTTCATGTTGTTTTGACCCGTGTGTGTCTGACGGCTAATGGAGTTGAGCCCTTCTGGTACATATCCCAGAGCAGTGAAATCACGATAGTAAAGATGACTGCACCCAGAGTTACTGCAGCACTGGTTCTTAACAGCCGCCACGCCACACAGCTGCAATGAAGTTACATGGGCAAAAAAAAATCCAGTTGTTTTTTACAAGCTTGTTTAAACTTTGTAGGGCCAGTGCTGGTCTGAGCATCTCCCTTAGCCTGTGAGTTATAAGGTGACTGACTCAGCCACAGGTGAGTCCTAGGGATTGGTTTCTCTTGTCCTTCAGGGGTTATTTTGATGGCCTTGGGTAGTAATTACACCTGCTCAACTTGGCTGCATACAAGAGGAACCGCTGAGTCTGAAGCCCTATCCCCTTGTGCCTGCCTACTGTGCTCTGTCATGAGCTCTGCAGTCTCGGCTTTCAGCTCAGATTTCAGGGGTTCCCTGTCATGCTGGCCCATCTTTAAACTCTCTAGGAAGGGAAATGGGGGTAGTCTTAGGACCCTTTGGTTTTACAAATGACTGCCCACAGTATTTACTGTCTGTCCACATTTTTCTCTGGTGTTTTAGGTAGGGGTGCACATTGAGTCCTCGATCCTCCATCTTGGCAGGAAGCAGGAAGTGCGCTAGTCCACCATATTCTCTTAACAGTCTGGGAGGTAGGTTTTTGCCTCACTTGCCATTTCTAATACTTTTTTCTTGCCTCTTCTTGTTCTTTTATCTCATTTACTCTCAGATAATTTGGTTACATTGATTTGTGTGCCTTCATTTATTTAAGTTTATGCCTTTACTTTTTTAGTTTCTGGGTTTTTTTGGGAGTGTTGTTTGGTGTGGTTTTTTTTTGGTTTGGGTTTTTTTGTTTCTTGTGTTTTTTTCCTATACTACCCCCTCAAGCATATTTATTAAGACATTCTATATTTTTTCTAAGAAAGTAGTTTGTAAAGCTAAAAGAAACATGATTAAAAGGTAAATGCTAAATAAAGAACATGTGAGGATGAGGTACATAATTTTTAAGTTTAAAGACTACTGACACACTTTTTCCTCTTTTATTTATTTATTTTTTGAAATAGGGTTTCTCTGTGTAGTCCTAACTGTCCTAGAACTCGCTTTGTAGACCAGGCTAGCCTCAAACTCAAAGATCCACCTGCCTCTGCCTCTCCCGAGTACTGGGATTAAAGGTGTGCACCACCACTGCCAGGCTCCTTTTCTGTTTTTAAAATTGCTTTTCTAATTACTATTTTAATACTTCATCAATGAAATAAACTCTGGAATAATTCTTAGACTTTTCGGATCTGTTACTTAATTGCCAACTAGTGAAAGCATAACTAAAGGGACTATTCAGGTACCAAATACTAGAGACCTTGGGTTGAGAATTAGTATGTGGGGTTTTTTGTTTCTTGGTTTAGAGACAAGGTCTCACACTACAGCCCAGACTAGCTTTAACTTCATGGGAATACTACCTCAGTCACCACGGTGCATGGGTTACATGCACGGGGTACCATTGATTGATGAAAGTTAGCAGTAAAAGGAGGAATGTAAGTATACACTTTGTGCATGAACATCATAATGTAATGATAAGAGTCCACACATCAAACACATACTATATGATCCCATCTCTACTTGTTCAAAACCAGGTAAAACTAATCAACAATGAAATGTAGAACGATGGTCACCTTTTAGGTGTTCTGAGTTGAGAGAGAGTAGAGTTCTGAAGTTCTGTTGATTAATTATTTTGAGCAGTGAGCCTACCAGTGCTGTAGTCCATGGAATTTGGATCTGGAAACCTGACTGGGGCAGCAAGGGAAGGAAGAAAGGACAGGCACATTGCAGAAAAGCTGGGGTCAGGTGTAGTGGGTAGCTCTTCCAGCTTGACCTTGAAACACTGCCCCTAGTGTGGCAGCAAGTAACTGCCACACCTGCCTATGACCTGCCCCTGGGGTGTGGCCAAGAGGGACCCCTTAAGACGAGAGATGTATATGCATTCACTCTCTTAGCTCCTCATGGTCCTGGAAGCTGGATTTGCAGACCAAGTCAGAGTAATTGACCCCTTATTGGTTGTAAGTTACCCCTGAAATAAACCTTTTAATTACCAGATAAACTACATGGAATTGCCTTGTTAATTATAGCAATTGCCAGGTGCAGTGTGCACACTGGTGGAATGGCACTACCACCACCACACCCTGTCTGTTAGGTACAGCAGAAGGAGAGGTTAACTAGTCTCCATAGGAGGTGTCTGTTGGCAAGCTGTCTCGGACTGTGAACATCTGGGAGAAGGAAGCTGCAGTTGCTGGTGTTTGTACACACTGACCAGTCCTCTGTAAACACTGGCACTTGGATCAGAGGAAGATGCTTTTCCCAACTTAAAGCCCAGCCCATATGGAGAACAGCTTTGCTAATTTCCCATGGGTCCAAGGGCTTGGACCTTCCTCATGGCTGTTTCCATGTCAACAAACACTCAGGACTTCACTCACTTGGGGCTTCCTTTTGAAGGACACCCCCCCAACATCAGGGGCTTCCTCCTGGACCCCTGACTTGGCACAAACCACATCCAAAGACCAGTGTTCACAGAGAGATCCTTTATTAAGTGGGAAAGAAAAGTTAAAGTGGCTGCATTCTGACTCAGGCAGAAAAACAGCAGCAAATGACCTTGCAGGTGTGATTTTTAAGAGGAGGAAAGGGGTTAGGATGCAGTGGTAAAGGAGATAGGGGACTAGAGAGAAGGGGAAGGGGACAAGGGAAAAGGGGAAGGGATATTTGTCCCAGAGGGACAAAACTGCCTCTGGATAGAGGGGAGACAGATGTGGCACATAGGCAAATGAAGGTTTATGAAGGTAAAGGGAAACTCGTGTTAGGACCAGGTGTTTAATTTTGATTGAACAAGTTAATTAGGTGAACCAAAGGGGGCTTCTGATTGCTGGACCTTGGTAGTCAGTCTCAGGAGCAGGAAGTGGCCGAATAAGGGAACAGACCGTGGCAGCTAGCTTTAGGAATGTGATCTAGTGGTTTTGAGCAAGGCACAGGGAAAGGGGAAGAAGGGAAAGGCCTGCCAGAGCCACGTGCTTGAGTGGACTAGGGTCCCTTCGCCTTCTGTTTGCTGTGTGAAAATCTACCAAGATAGTTATACTTTTGTGCACTGTTTTTTAATGGGTGTTAGTAAATGTTTACTAAAACATTAAAAAGATCTTAATGTTTTTGTTACCAAAATAAAACCAGAGCAAATATTGTATCAATCTTTTATTGTTGCTAATAATAGTAATGGTGTCTGAGTGAGTGTTTTGACACTTAGAGCATCATTTAGCCTTAGCCTGTGCAGCCAATGCAGCTTCTTCACGCCACTTGGCTTTCTTTGCCAGATTCCAGCTTGTTAAGGATTCATGTCGTTCTACAGCCTAAAAACAAAACACAACACAACAGGACTATTTAGAAGAACTTACATCATTGCTAGATATATGGAAAAGCCTTTGTAAAGTGAAAAGGAGGAAAAGGTACCTTAAGCAACTCTCACAGATAATATCCCCACCCCTCAAAATGGCTTAGTGTTACAGTGTAAAAAAAAAATCACCCAAGATGCTCGACTTCTACTCAACTGGATAGTTAATACCAGGAATCCACTGTCACCTCTCTTGGTTCAAATAGACATGTGTGTTGGGTAAAACGTATCAGAAGTATCTTCAAACACTGAAGCCCAAAAGGGAGATCCTAAGGTACTAGAAATGAGTGTAACTCAAAGCTTGTGCTGGCAAAGGATGGGAGAGAGATGCCAGGCTGGATCAGAATGGTTTCAGCCAGAGGGCATTTGGGAAAACACTGGCCATAACAGCTGTGAGTCGGAACTTTAACTACTTATACAAAGGAGTGAGTGCAGGATTGGGGTCTTCACTGTGCTGTGAATGGGAAGCTGAAGGAGACAGGAAAGGTGTGAAGTAAGTCCTTTCACCTGCCTGAGAAACTGGCAGAAGGGGGTCATTTATTTGATTAAACAAAACAAGCAACCCCAGTGTTCATTTAGAAGAGAATATATATACCAGGCAG